AGTTCCAAATGTCCAGGGGAACGGGCGACGGAGGAGAGAGGGGGCAGGGGAAAAGTCAATTCTTTTCGAGGAATGAAGTACAATTTCTAAAGATCTTATGTTAACTAGTCAACCATGTCCCTTGGGCCAAGAAGAGAGGAAAAGGAGAAGATAGTGGCTGTCTCCACTCCCTTTCTTCCAGAATTTCCCCTCTTTTCTCCTTCAGGATTGTATTGGGCCCAGTCTGGCTCAAGGAGAGTGACCTTGCCTGGGGTACCTTCTTCAGGCCTCTCCAGGGCTGGAAACGTGACTGAAGAGAGATCAGGAAAGGGGTACTCTGAAGGCAAGTGTGAACCTTCAAGTCGGGCTGTGGTGCCTAGGTTTCCCCAGTGGCGGCAGGTGACATCATTTCACTGGTGGCGCTCCGTGGAGGTGGCAGCAGGTGACGGTTTGGGGTTCTGAACCTGCCCACTCTTTCTCAAATACAGGCCCGGGGTTCTAGTTGTCAGAAGATTGGTGGAAAGAAGTGTGAGGCCTCTTGAGGAGGTGAGACCAAAGGAATCCGAGGAAGGGAGGTGGAAAGCAGACCCTCCCCTGTGTATCTGCCCTTCTGCCAGACCAACACTACTCCAGACGTGCCTTTAAGGAACTGGGGTGGCTAATTGATTTACAGCTGGCCCTGTGGGGAAAAATTTGTGGAATACACGGAGGAGCTCGATCCAAAAGCTGTAAAATCCACCTCCTTACTTCCCCATACACATAACCACTGGAACTCTCATCCCCCGAGTGTCTAGCTCCTTTCTCCTAGAGCTAGATTACTATGCAGCCTGCTAGACTGGGTTTGTGCCCACCCTCCTGGGCCTGGCGGTGGGAGGTGTTCAGGTCCTAGACAGAGCCAAACCTCTCTTGTTTGAGGATGTGGGGGGTGAAAGGGCCTTTAGCGGGCGGCGGTGCGCGCTGCCGGCCCCAGAGGCCGCCTTTGAGCCGTCGGGGCGGCTTCATTAAGCAGCGCTAACAAGGCGTACAAATGCCGGGCCCAGCAGCTTTCTTGCAATGTTGGGGCCTTAGCAGGGCGCCAGGCTAATGAGGGTCACTCAAAGGGGCTGATCAAATATTCAAATTTCCCCTCGCGCCGGGAACTTTTATGCACAGGGAAAGTTGAGGCAACTGAGCTGTGTTTACTGTCCAGAGCGACAATTGCTTGAAGCCTGGGTCCCCGGAGGCTAAGGAAGGGAGGGAAGCTGAGAGGAGGGAGCAGTTGTTGTTGTTGTTGTTGTTCAAAGGAAAGTAATCGGGGGTCCTTGAAGAGCTTCGAGGCCTCCCCGCCCGAGTACTGCGCTCCCCTGCGCCCTCCCTGGCGGCCTGCGCCAAGCTCCTCCGTTTGCAGCTTGCGGGGAGGCCCAGACCACCCGCTACCCAGCAATCTCCGTCTTCCAACGTCCTACAGCCCGGAAGAGGCGTTGCCCCCCAGGACCAACCTTCCTGGCCATTTGGGTTGCCAGTTCCGGGTTGAGCAAGGGTGTAGCTATCCCAGGCCCTCTGCAGCGCGCTCACCCGCAGACCTGCGAAACCCTTGGCAAACCAAATAATGAGGGAGTGGGGTTCCTGCAAAATCCCCTGATTAGACTGAGACTTTCTACTTTGGAGATAAGTGCCTGGCAGAGCACCACACAGCACTCCCGGATTCAAATGCCCTCATTTCTTCCGGCCCCAGTCACTGAACTCTGACTCCAAGATTCGGTAGCCAGGGTTGACGGTGATGGCAGTTTTCTCTGAGCAGGTGACCTCCATAGGTACCGAAGCCGCAGATCCACCAAGTCCACCAAGTCCCAGATTCTTGAGTCTCAGAGACGAGAGAGAGAGAGAGAGAGAGAGAGAGAGAGAGAGAGAGAGAGAGGCCCTATAGGCTAATTCACCAAGGTCTTGCAGCTCTGAGAGTATTGGGGTGCAGGCGATTCTTAGCGTCCCACCTACTCTGGAAGCTCTTCCTAGATCTCTTATTACCCACTTCAGACTATCGAAGAAGGCAGCCTGGGTCCTTTGCACCAATCGCTCTCCCGAGTTGCTCAGTGCATGGGAATTTGGAAAAACTCTAGAAGTCCACAGCACCCCCAATCACGCACCCACGCAAACCTTTTAGATCAAGACCCTGCGGATCACCAGAAGCACCGGGGACCATCCGCCCCGCCTCCCTGAACAGCTCTCAGGACTCTCAACTTACCGGGTTTGGAAGCAGCGTAGCGCTTCCGGCCTAAGCCGGAGAAACGCTGGCCGCGGAGTGGCCAGGAGGTGGGCTCAGAGGGCGGCGCAGAGCCCAGTTCTGACCGCTCACAGGCCCTCCGACAGTCCCGGGCTGCTGCAGGCCCGGGCGGGGTAGGATCGCACTCAGGGCTGTTCGCCTTGCCTGTGCCCTCCTCTCGGCTAAGCGCTCGAATGGCGCGGCTGCCGCCGAACTGCCAAGCCCAGTCGGCCCGCTAGCCACCAGGCTGTGGCTGGAGTGCAGGGCTTTTCCGGAGCAGAGTCTGCAATCTCTTTGCCTTAATTCTTCCTGAGTGGCAAAGGTTTTCGATTTCAGCGCTTTCGGCACAGCCCGCGGCACCTGCCCAGCCTCCCTCCAGGCCTGGGTTGTTTCCCCCCCCACTCGGAGGCGGGGGTTGCGGGGATTGGGAGGGACTGGCCGGGTTCGCCCGCCCGCCTGGCGCCTGGGTCCCCGGCTCCGGGGGATGCAGTTTCGGGGTCACGAGCTGCTTTCAAAAAGTTGAACACAATATTCGGAAACCCACCCGTAGGAATTCTCCCCCCCACGCGGCACAATACCCACTCCCCTCCCCCTTTTCATTCCTTCCTCCCCCGCTTCCTCCTCCTGCCCCTTCTCCCTCCCACCTTTCAGCCTATAATCCTTCCCCTACAAGAGAAAGGGGTCGGGAAGAAAAGACGAAGTGTCTGTTTTTGTGTCCCAACCTTTGGGCTCTTTCTGGGCCCGCAATGAGCGACCGCCCAGAGCCTCGCAGCTGAGCGGAAAAGGACTCCTGGTCCACAGGAAAGTGTATGGAGAAAGAGATCGCCAAAGTGGAGTTCGACGGATCCCATCTTTTAGTGGAAGCCTTCTTCCACCCTCGTCAGTGAGTTTAGGTTCCCCCACCTGCCTCCAGCTAGACAGTTGTATAGTCCCCTAGTCCAACCCAAGCACTCTGTGTTACCCTTAACCGGGCTTGCCCTTTAAAACCTGGCGCTGCTGGATCAAGGCCTAAAAAAGACCTGAGCTTGAGAGTTAAGGCCTGCGACCATTTTAGCTCCAGGCTCCAGTTAGGTTCACATTTAAATTCTCCCACAATCTCTTTTTCACTCCTCCCTCATTGAGATCTCCCGAGTGGTGAGTACCCGGCGCCGCGCCCCCAGATCTGCATCGGAATGTAGAAAAGATCTTTTTTTTTTTTTTAAAAAAAAGTTTTGAATTCCTCAATGATTTTTCTTCTGGAAAGGCAGCTTAGGATAATTATTTCAGCTTTATTGAGAGCAGATTAGTTGAAGTCTGGGCGCTGCGTTTCAATACGCGTTGTACATGGGCCGACAATGTGGGCTTTGTTGGCTACTGTGTGTGAATCCATTCAACATATACACTTTTTAACACCAAACCGAATCCTGTCTAAATATACACAGTGCGTAGGGAAAGATGTCTCTGACCCGGACAAATCTGCGTAAATCACACTTCCATAGTTACAGAAGCCTGACAAAGGGAGGCTGGCCTCAAGATGCAGATTACAACTTCTTACAAGCAACATACCTAAGAATAAATGCCCTTGGCTGGCTTGGGGGCTGTGGTCGCCCGCAGGCAAGGAAGGCCCTCTGCGTTCTTTGGAAGAGAGGCAGTCTGTTTCAGGGCTGTGATACGACCTTACCTATGGAGAAATTAGACTTTTATTGTTTATTACCATAGTTATTTACACTATGAACAAACGAGGAACTTTCAGGCCTTGGGTGTTTCCTCAGGGTGCCCTCTACAGTTTCAGCATCTTTCAGAGGGTGCTGGGAAGGCTCAGTGGTTGTACCCATGGATGTAGGAAAAGTAGGCATCCTCCAGACTCCGCATGGTCCAGAGGGTCCCTAGGCTTCTGGGTTCTTGTTGCAGCTCTACCACTGTGGGAGGCAGCTGAAGTCTGGGGGTGGAGAAACAAACAATGGGGTTGCTTTTGGAGAAGGAGAAAAGTGTAGTGTTGTTGCCACTGCTTTAAAATACACGGGGATGAAAAAATTCTCTGATTCTTGTCTGGTCGCAAAGAGCTGCGTAGTTTAGCATGGAAGGAAGTGGGATAAATGGAGTTTAGTGGCACTGGCCAGGGAAGCCCTCTCAGGTCCCGGGTTCACCTCCTGGGTACCAGATGCTGTCTCGCAAATCTAAGCTCATCCAGCCGCTTCCTAGGGTGAGAGTGCAATAGGCCTCCCGATCTCCTCTCTTCTTTCTTCTTGACCACTGTTAGGGAGCAGGTTGACAGACAGTCGTAACTGAGACACCGTGTGCAAACCTGTCCGGGCCACCTGGTCCTTTGCCTCTCCACAGACAAGCAGCCTGAGGCTGGGAGCCCCTTCCCTACCTCGAAACACTCCCCGCAACTAATTGGTTGTCTCATTCCTTTTCGAATTTTTGGATCAACTTCTTTGAGCAGGAGGAGGGAGGGGGAGAGAGAGAGAGAGAGAGAGAGAGAGAGAGAGAGAGAGAGAGGATATTAAGAGTTGCAAAGATTTTTTTTTCTAATTCTGTTTCGCCTTCTTCTCCCCCCCCCCCCCCCCTCCGGCTAAGTGGTAAAACCGTCCTTACGTTCTCGGTATTGATTGGCAGGGCTGACAGTGATTGGCAGTGGTTGCCGTGGCAACGCCACAACGACACGCCGCAGACCAATAGAAAAGCGAAACAAAATGTTTCAATGCTGCACTCACTGTGGATTTAGGGGAGATATTATGAGGCTGTTGTCATTAGGGCGATTGCTGTGGAATCGCTGAATCTTGACTCGGCGGTGGTTGGCTCTCGCTCTCCTCTCGTTCTCCTCTCGCTCTCCTCTCGCTCCCTCTCCCTCTCTGCCTCGGGTTCTCTCTCTGCGCGCGCGCACCGGGCCGCTCTTTTTCCTCCCTCTCTATGTGGCTGCGCGGGTGTGTGTGTATGTGGATGTGTGTGGGGTGTGGGTGTCCCTTACGTCCTTCCTCCTCCCCCTCCTTCTCCTTCTGCTCTCCCCTCCTTCCCATCTCCTCCACCCCCCTCTCCTCTCCCTCCTCCTGGTCCTCATCGCCCCTCTCCTCCTCTTCCTCCCCTCTCTCTTCCTCTCCCTGAATTTTCTCCTCTCCTCTCAGGTCAGTCCATGGTATTCCGCTCCCCCCTAGACCTCTATTCCTCCCACTTCTTGTTGCCAAACTTCGCCGATTCTCACCACTGCTCCCTACTTCTGGCGAGTAGCGGCGGCGGGAGCGTTGCGGGCAGCGGCGGCGGCGGCGCGGGAGGAGGCGGCAGCGGCGGGAACCGTGCGGGAGGCGGCGGTGCTGGCGGAGCAGGCGGCAGCGGCGGCGGCGGCTCCAGGGCCCCCCCGGAAGAGTTGTCCATGTTCCAGCTGCCCACCCTCAACTTCTCGCCGGAGCAGGTGGCCAGCGTCTGTGAGACGCTGGAGGAGACGGGCGACATCGAGCGGCTGGGCCGCTTCCTCTGGTCGCTGCCCGTGGCCCCTGGGGCGTGCGAGGCCATCAACAAACACGAGTCGATCCTGCGCGCGCGCGCCGTTGTTGCCTTCCACACCGGCAACTTCCGCGACCTGTACCAGATCCTGGAGAACCACAAGTTCACCAAGGAGTCTCACGGCAAGCTACAAGCCATGTGGCTCGAGGCGCACTACCAGGAGGCCGAGAAGCTGCGCGGCCGCCCGCTCGGCCCGGTGGACAAGTACCGCGTGCGCAAGAAGTTCCCGCTGCCGCGCACCATCTGGGATGGCGAGCAGAAGACTCATTGCTTCAAGGAGCGGACTCGGAGCCTGCTGCGGGAGTGGTACCTGCAGGATCCCTACCCCAACCCCAGCAAGAAACGCGAACTGGCGCAGGCCACCGGCCTCACTCCCACACAAGTAGGCAACTGGTTTAAGAATCGGCGACAGCGCGACCGCGCCGCGGCGGCCAAGAACAGGTCAGTGGCAGGGATCGCGACTGGGCTACAGCCTCCGGGGCTGGGGAAGGGGAGACGGGTTGAAATGCAGGCTATCCTGGCATAGTAGGGGCGGCTGACCCAGAGCTGGAGGAGCCGGGTCTCTCTGGGTAGTTGGAGAAAGTTTTTGGTTGCCCCAGAACTGGGAAGGAGAGGGTTATAGGCTACTTTGCCCAAGAGGGGCTTTTTATCAGAGCCAGAACTGTCTGAGAGCTTCTAGTGTCCTCAACCCGTGGTGTCAGTCTTGGAAGCTCTAGTCCCCTGGCAGATTTTCTCAGCCCTGGCCCCAACTAGAAGGCTGGGAGGAAACCAAAACTCTATTTGCTGTCTGATTATATCCATGCATGGCAAAAGAAGGGTTGGGAGCCTTAGAGATGTCCAGAAGCGATCAAGAGGGGCAAGTGGACCAGGGTCCCTGCCACAAAGGGAAGCCACCCTCCAGAGAGTTTCCTTTCTGAACCCTGAACAGGAAAGGCAGACTGGGTGCGAAGAGGCCTAGTGTGTTTTAATTAATGTGTTCACACAAGGGTGTCCACTCCTGGTGTTCCTCAAGCATTAAATATATGTTCTCGGCTAAGGAGCGTCCATCCCTTTGGTCCACTTAGTTGGGTAGCAAACGCCAGCAGGTGCAGCTCTGTTTCAAGCAAATTGGTTACAAAGTCACAAAGTAGTTTTGGTTCTTGTGAATCCTTAAAGCTGGGTTGGGAGAAGTACGTAGAAAGAGGAGAGGGGCTAGAGAAATTGAGTCCAAGGGGAAGGGAAAAGAAGGGGGGCTCGGGTGAGCGAAAGCTCTCATACACGCTTCAAAGGCACTAGGCCTGGGAAGGAGCAGGAGCCCCAGCTGCCGACAGCTGCTGGTGGCTGGAGTACCTGGAGTGTGTGTGTTTAGGTGATTCAAGCCTGAAGCCACTTCCCTCTCACCTCTGCCTGTGGAGGCCTCTTTTCGCCAGATGAGGGGAGCACCCAGGACCAGAAAAAGGCTTCCTTGTGGGGAGACACTAGGTTCAGGCAACTGCTTTTTTTTGCCTGAAAAAGAGTCTATCCTTCCCTCCTGCTTTCTTTTTCTTCCCTTTTCTTGCTTCTCTCTCTTACTCTCATCTTTTAACCCCCACCTTCCCGATTTTCTCATCCCCGGATCTCAGAAAGTAAAACGGTGGGTACTCTTGGGAGAACCCCACCACCACCTCCCGCAGCAGTGGATTATGTTTGGGAAGGCCGTGGCAGGAGGCTGTATGGAATTTTTAGGTTTCCATGCAGTCGGCCCAGTTACTAGACCCTCCGAGGTTGCGGAAGAAGAGCTTCTCTCTTCTTCACTGTCTGCTAGTCCAGGGCTCAGCGTCCCTTACTGCCCGCTCAAGTCTTCGCTGGCGGCTGGCTTGGGGTTCAACCCCAGCTCTAAGGCCGTCCCTATCTGGAACACTTTCCTAAGCCAAAGGCACTGGCAGCCGGGACTTGAGTTAGGAAGACCCTGCGGTACTCAGGGAACAAGCAGCTGGGTGCCTGGAAGAACACAAAGCGCAGTCGGGGGCGGTGGTTAGGGCACGCGACGCGGGAGGCCGCGGAGGTAGGGGGGTGCGGGCCCATCCGGGCCAGTCTCCCCGCGGTTCCAGTGAGGGGAGCAGGGTGGCGGGCCATTGAGTCAGGGCGGGCTCCGCTCTCTCTTTCCCGCAGGCTCCAGCACCAGGCCATCGGACCGAGCGGCATGCGCTCGCTGACCGAGCCCGGCTGCCCCACGCACGGCTCGGCAGAGTCGCCGTCCACGGCGGCCAGCCCCACCACCAGTGTGTCCAGCCTGACGGAACGTGCGGACACCGGCACTTCCATCCTCTCGGTAACCTCCAGCGACTCGGAATGTGATGTATGATAGCCAAGGCCGCCCTCCTCCTCCTTCCCCTCCTCCCTCTCCACCATCCCCTCCTCCTCCTAGCCCGGCTCCTTTTCCTTCTGGTCCATCCCTAGAACAAACCGAAATCAGGACACGCGCGCTCTCGCGCGCGCACACACACATACATACACACACACGTACTCCATACACACTCCCACCCCAGCCAAAAATATATATAAAAAAAAAAACAAGAAAAATAAATTAACCTCAAACCATCAACACCCCCCCCCCACCTACCACCACGGCCACCCCAAAGGACCGCGACGCCAACAGACAGTCACAAACGCTGATCTTGCGGGCAGAAAACATAAAAGAGGTGACAATTGTATACTTTCCAGGACAAGCACGGTTTCTCCTTTTGGTTCCCACGGACCCGGCACCCCACCTGCATGACGATTTATTTGTATCTGGGAAAATATTCTCTCTAGTTTAAAGTGATTTAAGGAGTCGACCATACAAAAACCACCACCGCCGAGACAAGACGAAAAAAACAAACAGACAAAAAGAAAAAAAATCTGACATCTCCGTTCTGAATTTGTTTTTTAAAAAGGAAGGAAAGAAAGAACGAAAGAAAGAAAAAGAAAAACTCCCCGAGAGAAATAGCAAATGTTTCTTCCTTCTGTTGCTCTTTCCTCTTTTAGCTCTTTCTCTTTCTCTCTCTCTGTTTTTAAGTCCAAGTATTGGTCAAACAAGATAGAATCTTTTGTTTTTTGTTCAGCAGACAATCATTTTCTTCGTAAGCACCTTTTTCTCTCCACTCTGTCACTGCCTGTGTGGGTACTGGTTATAAATGTGGAAAAAGAATAGTTATGACTGTAACAGATTTTTATTTTTATTTCAAAATTTTATATGAATTATGTATATCTTAATGATCGGTCATTTTCCCAGTTTGTAATATATGTGTAGCAATTGCTTGTATATGACACCTGCTTTTTTCCTCTCCCTCTTCTCTCCTCCTTCCTTCCCTGCTCACTCACCTCTTTCCTTTTGGGGGGTTCCTCCTCCTACTCGGGGTTCCTGGCCGTCGACTTGTCAGTCGAGGCTTGGCGAGGTGGCCAGGGTTAGGGCGAGAGAGGGACCCTCTCGCCAGCGAAAGCTGAGTGAGGCCGTAGAATTCTTATGCAAAAGCTATTCCAAGTTTTTCCTAGCCGCTTCGGAGGCCTCATTCACTCCCGTAGGGCGCTTTTACTGTTATCTTAACTGCGTGTTTATCTATATGTAAAAACTTTCTAAAGCAAATACAGTATTCTCCATTTTCTTATCACTCCCAGAGACTGGTGTTTGTGTCTGCCCAGGCCAGCAGTTCCCGGGTGCAGGGTTCAGCGGCCCAACCTCGCTCTTGCTCTCCGGCTCTGCGGCTGCCACAGCCTGAGGGAAGGGATGTCAAAGCTGGATCTGAGATTTTTCTGGATGTTGAGTCGAAAACTGAGAGCAAACACTTGTTTGGAAAGAGAGTCCAAGCAATATCCTGAGAGAAAGGCAAAGAGGGCCCAAGGGAAGGGGGCTGCGACTAGTTCTTCCCACGCCAAGGGGTCAGGGCCTGAACCTTCCCCAAGCGCTTTGCCCTGGGTTTGCAGCGTCCTGCGGCTCTTGTGGGTCGCCGGGATGTTTTGGTAGCCTTCTAGTTGTTGTTTTGCTTTCTTAAAAGGAAAAATACACAAGGTCCCCTAACCCAAGCATCCATCCTGAACGAAGCTGAAATGTTGTCGTCGTTGGCTGTTTCTTCTTCCGTTTTTGGAGGAAGTTAAAATAGTTAACTATGGCGGGGATGGGAAAGACAGGCGAAGGGAAGAAGGAGGTAGTTTTCTGACTTTGGGTCTAAAATCAGGATACTTTCCCTTTTGCCTTCACCGCCAGCCTCGTCTGTCTGGGTCGCTTGCCTTAAGTGTCTGAATCTACTTGAATTTTCTCACCTTGTCTTTTGGGATCACCCGGAGTCCCTTCAGCTTCTAAGGGATTTTGGTTGGGTTGCACGGTTAAATGAAAACCAGCAACAAAACAAAAACATCACCCCTCACTAGGCACGTTCCTCTGCGGGCTCCACACTTCCCTGGCCGGCTGTGGATACACACTTCTCAAGGATGGACGGATGGGCAGAAGCGATTCTGCGGCTCTGGGCCAGGGCGGCCTGCACTCGAGGAGAGGCCAAAGAGGTCATTTTGGAAAACTTGCCTTCACTTCAAAGTTGAGTTTCCAAGCTGGGAGGATTAGGGAGAAAAGAGCCTGGAATTTCGCGCCCACTTCCAAACTAATTTTGACTTCCGATTTCCTTTTGCTTTTATTCCCCGAAGCACGAAGCACCGCGAGGGGAGGGGGTTTACGAGGGCCGGCTTTAGCAGAGGGGCAGAATGGTCCGAAAGTGCCCTAGGTGCAGAAGAGCGCATGCGCTTACAAGGGGCGGAGGGTTCCTTAGGGGGTCCCTTCTTAGAATCAGGGTATCCTGCCGGCTCCCCAGCGGACCTGGCACACAATGTTAGAATCTCTGTGTGTGCCCACTACCCGTAGAAACAGTCCAGGGCAGCCATATTTCTGACACCGCCAGAAGATTGGAAAGAGGCGATCTATAAAACCCACCAGGCTTGGACTTCCAATCTGTCGTCTGCTCCTCACACATTTGACCCAGAACTTGGGCCTTTCAACCCAGAAGAAATGGCTGTCTCGGTGTAGACAACGTGGATGGAGGGCGAATGAACCACACCTGAGGGGTGGAAGGAGCGGGCGATCGCTGCTGATGAGTGACTCCCTCCGGGGGCAGACTAGACCCAGTGACATCAGGAGTAGGGGGCTTTTTGTGTGAGGACAAAGGGGAAAACTTGAGAGTTACGCTTCTTTTTCTCACCATGGTCAGCAGATAAAGCAAGTTTGGGTCAATTCATGGCCTCTTCCTCCACCGGAGAACCAGCCCCTGGTCTCCACCAGCAAGCAGCCTTCACTTTGGAGGGCCTGCGTCCTGTTGGGTGTCACAAGCCTGTGGCCCCTGTCAATCACTCCTATATTTCTACATAGGTCTGCCACAAATACCAATGCTGTGCTCTTTGCATTTTCTGACTTTCCCTACAGGTCTCCTGTGTGCTTGGTGTGAGTGGCGCATGTGTGTGCCGTTCTGAAAGCTGGACTCTCACTATTTCGTCAAGTTCTGTATACAAAAGGATGTATGTGTGTGCTAGATATAAACACACACATACTTCATTGGCATGTTCCGAGTGTGGGTTTTCATGAATGCTGAATAGCTTAGGTATAACACTTCTGTACCGAGTGAGCAGGGAGTGTCACAGTGGTTCCAGTACACCTGCAGGATGCTGTCAGCAGGGCTTTCTGTCCAGAGAACGAGTGTCCTTTACGTCAGTTCTTTTGTGGACCTCTATGGTCACTCATTCTGGTTAGTCCATGAACCTGAGCGCCTCAGTCTTCATCCCTAAGAATCTTACACACACACACACACACACACACACACACACACAGGTGTGGGAACTCACAACAGATGCTAGTGTGGGTTGGTTGCTTCCTCCACTCATTTTTCCCTTGATACATTAGTTATTACAGGGGATTTGACCCTTACCCTTACAGAGGGCAGAGAGAAAGTGGGCTCATCTCTCTTTTGCTCAGTGCCTGACCTTTCTCTTCCTGGCCCCCCGATCTATGGCTAAAGCCGGCAAGGTACCATGGGACTTCTGGGGGCACAGCTGGGTGGAAGAGCTGTGTTGACACTCTCTTTGTACAAAAGCCAGCTCACCCCCCAACCTCGTGGAAGCAAAGCAAACTGTGCCTGGGCCAGGGGAGTGAAGCCTCTGTGGACCTGTTGACCACAGGGCCCCTTTCTCCAGGCCACACAGCAGCTGGCTCCCCTTGGCATCAGAAGGTTGAGAGCACTTCTCTGTATACTGTGGACTTCTTGCTTGCCCTTTCGGTGGTGCATCTGGCTGGGAACTTTGCCCAATGCTAGGCCTCTCTATACCTAGGTGCTTGCTCTAGATCAGTGATTGTCAGCCTATGAGTCATTACCCCTAGGACTGCATATCAGATATTTATATTGCAGTTCATAGCAGTAGTGAAATTATGAAGTAGCAACAAAATAATTTTATAGTTGGGCATCACTGCAACACAAGGAATTGTATAAAAGGGTCACAGCATTAGGAAGAAGAGAATGACTGCTCTAGGGTACACAGGGTGAGGAATAACATCCAATGTTCTTTCTCCTTGCATCCCTCAAAGTAAACAATGGTTATCTAGGATTTGCATCAGAAACCCCAACAGCTGATTGCACTGTGAAGCTGTGAATATCTCTATCAAAGACCCCACCCTTAGACTGTCCCCGCCAGAAAAAAGACAGGTCAATGTACTCCTTTTGGTTTGTTCATTTCTTAGCCCCCTTCCTTTCCTCGCCCCATTCCAGAGCTCCTCCTATTTAGCACCCCTTCTTGACCTCTGAATCCTGCCAAATTAACTGCCCAGTGCCAGTGAAGTTGATTATCCCTGGTGAGATACACAACTGATTTAAAAGAAATGACCTGGAAGCTGCCCCAGTGCCAGGCAGTGATGCTGATCAAGAGTGAAGCAGGATAGAGGTGTGTGAACCTGGTGGTAAGGCTGGGATTGGGGCTGGTGGGGACAGTGGGACCAGTGCTGCTCTGGGAAGGCCATGACAGGGCCTAGGCAGGCCACAGATCTGACCTTCACAACCCACTACCAGTTTGTCATGAACACCCATGTACTTCGTCGAAATTGGAATGAAACAGCTTGGCACATTGGGAACCCGATGCCTTGCAAGAATCACTAAACCTACAGTCTAGGATCAGGCCTGTGGAACATTGGACGTGCTCTAGCTCCCCCAGAGCACAGGGTGCCTCAGACTTTTCTTCCCCTCCTTGTCTTCCATTGCCACCCAACCTTCCTGCACTGCCTTGTGTGGCTGTCACCTGGAGTACTGGCTGCCACCTCTATGGCTTTTCAAAGTCCTCCCTGGGTACTGACCACGAAGACCATTGAACTGCAAGTCCTCAAGCATGGGCCACCCACTGCTGGGTCTCTTTGGGGGGGAGGCAGCTGAGCTAAACTGAGCCTTCTTGGTCCCAGGCAGCGGCTGGGGTGGCTGTCTGGCCTAAGGGGGAGGGGGATGAGGGAGTCTGGGAGGAGGATAGTAGTACACGCCCCGGCTCCAATTTCTCCGGTCAGCTGAGCACAACTTTCCATTCGAGTGTATTCATGCAGCTGCTGATTAAGCTCTCTAGTGTCAGGAAGGACTCGGCAGGAGGGGGTAGGCACCACCAGGCTAACAGAGGCTACACCACACACACACACACACACACACACACACACACACACACACACACCGATACAAATATACCCTAGCCACATGTTGTATGTACACCTTGCTCCCAGCCATTTCTGCATAAATACAGCTCAGCTCTCTCTCTCTCTCTCTCTCTCTCTCTCTCTCTCTCTCTCTCTCTCTCTCTCTCTCACACACACACACACACACTCACACACACACACACACAATGCCTGCCACCAGAACAATTTCCCAACACCCACAGGTCTACCCAGCCAATCTTTCTGCTTTACCCCTTACAGAGTCTACACGGGTACTGAAAACACAAGTGCAAGCATCCTCAATATCTCTCCTCCCTTCTGGTCCTCTCTCCAGGAAGCACATGCTCCAAACCTGCATGGATGCACACACAAACATGTCCAGTCTTCCAATCTTCCTCCCACAGAGCTATCCAGACTCACAATAGAATTGCACACATATGTAAAGCGTCACTAGCACCCACAGACTGGTAACACACAGTCTGTTCTATGTAGAGAGCTGGGACTCACCAAAAATTCATACATGGGAGAAACTGCAGAAGAGTGTGAAGAACACAGCCGTGGTATATTCACAAAGATGCAAGATATTCAAGGAAGCTTCAGATACCTGCTGACAAGAGGAGCCAACTCAAAGACAGTACCTAAACACCTCAGTCACTTGCAGGTCTGGGCCCCTCCGAAACCACTTCTCTCAACTTCATCCACTTCAAGAGATGTTCCCCCTAAAATAAACCCCACAGTATGTGGCTAGAGATTTAAAGGAGACAGCCAGTGTACTGAACACACTTACTATTGAGAGTGGAACAGAACCCTCTGCTGTGAAACTCCCTTAACCAAAGGGCCTAGGTATGCTATTCTGCAGAACCAGAA